GGATTGCCATCCAGTGTCCATTTCTTCTGAGAGGGGCAGTCATTTTCGCAGTCTTTTTTCTTTCTTGGCAGGCCTCCTAGCATCTATGATTGGTCCAGTTGACCTCTAACCCCTAAACTATTTGTTCTAGGACCAACTAAGACACATATATCCATCATCAGTTAAAGATAACTTGAATTTCCCATTAGCTTAAACAATCTTCAATTGCATTTACTTCTTAACAGAACAATCTCTTATTGATCAAGTTTTCTGAGGCATGTAAGCTTATTTCTTGCAGGTGGGCATATGGTACACTCTCTATTAGTTCCCATGTTTCATCTACATTCTACATCCTGAAACTAATTGTAGTCCTAAAAGAAAAGACAACTACTATGCCAAGAAAGCAAATCCCTTAGTTGATTAGGATATAATTTTTATCTAAGCTAAAACTTCTGATTTGCTTAGTCATTTGGAAAGGAGACCCTCTCTCATTTCAGTCCCCCCTTTTAAATACATCATTTGCGAATTCTTTTGCAAGGTTTCATACTGTTTATATTTAAGCAGCATGGGTAAGGAGCTAAAACTCTTAATTTGTACCAAAACACAACATTAACTATGGTAAGAATTGAAATTACACATAACAAAATCAACATGGGGTGAATTAACACATTTAAAACCTGGGTTGCTGATGGGGACTTTCCTAAAAAATGCTCCACCAATAGTTCTTTCCATCTTCTTTGACTCGTTCGAAGTTTTGATGAATTTTCTCTATATCATGCTGAACCGTAATTAAAGTTTTTCGGCCATTTTCTTGAATTCATTTCAATAGTTGCTGAAAGTCTTCGTGATGTTGCAGTCTTTTAAGCAAGGTGTGGTTAATTCCAATGGGAGTAGGTTGCAAATCTTGAAACAACATATAATCAGATTGTAGCAGAGAATAAGAGCTGTATAATTGAAATCACATCCTTCAATGGTAGCAAAATTACAAACACAAATATTAGAGTGATTAGGAGTAATTACAGAATCTTTATCTATATACAAATGTGATGGTTTCAGTCTAGGCCTTCCTGGAGACCAGTTTGTAACCAGGAAGGAACTAGGAAAGTGACAAAGGAAGTATTCCATGCTATTCCTTTACATAACTTGGGGTATAAATAGGGCATAGATAAGAGAGCTCGCTCTCTTCTCTTCCGGCGAGGTTCGAGAATGGTGGGTCCCTGTCTTGGTCTGGCTTATCCGGAGCCAGAGCCGAGCCGAACCGAGCCAAGGCGAGCCCTGCCGCTGTCGGCAGGGAGGTCGGTCCCCGAAGACTCGACGCATTCACGTCAGCGCGGCGCTGGCGCCGGGCCGGCGCGGGGGGCCCAGGCTCAGGGAGGCCCTGCTGGGGGCCGCCCTGCTCGGGGGGGGTCCTGCTGGCTGCCCACACCGATCCCGACCCCCACCGGGACGGGGTCAAGCCATGCCGAGCCTGCCACGGCCTCGCCGACAGCTTCAGCAGGGGCCTGGAGCAGACAGAGCATGAGGGCTTTGGTGGGGGCAACACAGTCTGGGAGGAGGAGAAGCTGTCCAAGTACCAGCACAGTGAGACCCGTCTCCTGGAGGTGCTGGAGGGCATCTGTGCTCCCTCGGACTTCGCCTGCCACCAGCTGCTGGAGCGGAGCGAGGAGCATGTGGAGCAGTGGTGGTTCCACGAGCGGCAGCAGCACCCTGACTTCTTCCAGTGGCTGTGTGTGGACAGGCTGGTGCTCTGTTGCCCACCCGGCACCTACAGCCCGGACTGCTGGCCCTGCGCCAGCGGGCCCCGGCAGCCCTGCAGTGGCAATGGGCGATGCGATGGCGACGGCACACGCCGTGGCACCGGCCTCTGAGTCTGCAGCCCGGGCTATGGCAGCCCCTTCTGCGCTGAGTGTGGTGACGGCTACTACGAGGCCTCGCGGAACAAGAGCCACCTGATGTGTGCTGAGTGCTACCAGGCATGCGGGCGCTGCACGGGGCCCGAGGACTCCAGCTGCCTTCGCTGCAAGAGGGGTTGGGTACTGCACGAGCACCGCTGCATCGGACAGTCCCCAGTTCTCCCACAGACATCGACGAGTGTGGCACAGAGATGGCGCATTGCTGAGCCAACCAGTACTGCGTCAACACAGAGGGCTCCTACGAGTGCCGAGACTGCTCCACGACTTGCATCGACTGCATGGGTGCCGGACCGGCTAGCTGCAAGAAATGCAACAAGGGCTACTGGCAGGATGGAGCCAAGTGCCTGGATGTGGACGAGTGTGCCAGCGCTGAGGAGCCGGTGTGCACCGGAGCACAGGAGGTGTGTGAGAACACAGAGGGCAGCTACGGCTGCGTCTGCGCCCAAGGCCACGTCCGCCGGGATGGGCAGTGTGTCAAGGACAAGCCCCCTGATGCCCCAGAGAAAGACTTCTTTGACGATGTGACCAATGACGAGGTGGTGGTGCTGCAGCACAAATATTAGAGTGATTAGTAGTAATTCCAGAATCTTTATCTATATACAAAGAGGCACAGAGGGTCCATAGACAGGCACATCCTTTTCCTATATAGACAATCACAGTTTCCAGGCTTTCATATGGATGTATTTCGAAGTGATAGATGCTTTGCTCAGTGTCTAAACAAATGTCTTGTGCTCCGATAGTATAACTTTCACAGATGAATCCTTGCTACTCCTGCACAGTGCATGCTTCTACATCTATGGTTTGCCATTTATCTGCATTTCTTTGGGCCAACACTTTATGTTCTAGTGGTAGCAGTGTAGTTACGTTATGATTAGCCCCTAAAGCAATAATTGGGTAAATTTTATTGATGCCTTAAGATCCTTTTAGTTTTTTGACTTCTTTAAGTTTTATAAGTTTTATAAGTAGTTATATAGCAGAAGTAGATTTTAGAAGCAGCAGCATTTATTCCTTTACCCTTTCCCTTACCCTCAGCATAGTAACTACACACATTCCCAACCCTTTTACCCCAATTCCCCAAATCAGTACCCCTGAATTCTATTAAAATGTTTAGTCTCTTGTCAAGATAGGCCTATTCTGTTTAAAGAACACTTGTACTCTGGCCTAAACCACAGAGTACAGTCAAGAACTGGGTAACCGTGTGCCCTTTGTGCTCCGAGGAAGACCAAGTGATGAAGTAGGTGGTCTCGAAAAGACCCCAGACCCAATTCCCCAGGGGTGGGCTGGGGGTGGACCAGGGCAAAAGCCAGAGGGTGGAAAAACCTGGGATTGGACAAACAGTATTATAAATTGTAACACCTGAGGCAGAGGGACGCGCGCATTTTGTAACTTCTGTGCCTTGGAGGCACAATTAAATCCTTATCTCACCTCTAATTAAATTGCTCTGGAGTTTTTTTTCCTCAGCTCCTTTAGGCATCATTAAAAAACTTGTGCCTTTTGTATTGTTAATACAAAAGCTGTGGCTATACTCCTAACAGGATTATAGGTGAAATTAACTAGTTTCCACCATGATTGAAACTTTTTCAAATTTAGTTGCATTTTGCCAAATGACTGTCCTAATTTCTGTTGGTAGGATGCCACCTTCAGCTTCTCTAATGAATGCAGCTCAATGGTAGGGAAACATTTGTCTGTGCTGTTCCCAAAGCATTAACTATCAACAGGTGGTCTTTTTCGTGAGTTTCCTCCCAGGGGAGTAGTACATCTGACACTAATTTCTGGCTGTTTCCTGGACTTGAGAGAGAAGACTTTAAAGGGTGTTGTAGCTGGTTTAAGTTGCTTGTTACTGTTTCTAACTTATTCATTAATATTTCTGAGTCTACGCTATTTAAAATCCCCAATCCGGAGCTTAATGTTCTGATTATGTCTTTCCTGGGTCGGCCATCTGAAACAAAAGTTCGTGTACATAACCAGGCTGCCCACCCTGCATACGAAGTTTTAAGAAAGGGTGAGCAAGATGGTCGAACCTCTGAAATATCATTTTGTATTCTCAGTTCTACTTGTTTGAGGTTAAACATTACTTGTTGTTGTCCAGTGTATTTGACTACATAAGGTCCAATACTATAAATGTAAGGAATCCATCTGGTAGGCTTTTGCACTGTGGAAGGTTGTGTAGTTGGAGCACTAGTTGGAGCACTGGTTTCTGTATATATTATAAATCTTCTGGATACATTTCCCTCTTTAAACGACCAATTACACACTACAGAAACTGGTTTGTCTAGGACAAAGGGGTACCAGCATTGATCAGATTCACAAACCTGTTGGCTAAGTACATTTCCATACAACACAGGAGGGACCCATGTGTTCAGGGAGTCTCGCACGGTAATCTCAGTTTGAGGTATCCAGTTTTTTTGTGAGGGTGGATTAAACACTTTACATCCTACCCGTACTACTGTCCCAAGTGTTCCAGTTAATATACTTGCCCCCAAGTTTCAATTATGTCATCCTCTCAGAACCTTCATTTCTTCCTGTAAAACTACAGCAGCTGTATTATATTTGCAGATTTGAGTATAATCACCTATATAGTCAAGTCTAAGACCAGAAAGTCCAAAATAAGCATAAGACCATGGCCAGTTGTGCAAGTTTCGAGCTGGCTTCCTGCCAAGTCTCTGAAACTCGGCAACGGAGTCTGCTTCCCAAAGAGGGAAGAAAAAAACCCAAAAAGCTACAGCTATAGCAAAGGGAAGAGGGGAAGGGAGAAGGGAAAAAGGACAAAATAGGATGAATAGGGACAGAAACAAAACAGGTGTACAGAATCTAAAAACCTGGTAACCAGCAAAATAAAGAACTGGCAAAATCTGACCACTTCCCTTGAGAGAAGCAGGACAGCTGGATGCGGCCCAGCACTCTCCCCTCACGCGTGGCAGACAACAGCAGTCGATACAGACCTCAACTTCAGATAAGCAAGACCACGTATGGATCTACTGTTCTCGAACCTTGCCAGAAGAGAAGAGAGTGAGGTCTCTCCAGTCGGCTTTATTTATACTTCAGGTTACGTAAAGGAATAGCATGGAATACTTCCTTAGTCACTTTCTTAGTTCCTTCCTGGTTGCAAGCTGGTCTCCAGGAAGGCCTAGGGTGAAAACTATCACACCAGTCTGTAAGGAATTAGCTCGTGTGAACCTCTTGCCTTAGCTCGTGTGAACCTCTGAGACGCAGGGCCATGGGAAAGCAACAGTGTCTTTGATGTGCTAAAGCTGGGTGATAAACAGGAGGCTGGCATTAACAAAACAAAGGCAACTGATAAGCCACCTGTGTAAACAAAGCAAGGGAGTTAAGATGATATCACCACTCGACTAAGTGCCAATAATGAGCTTAATCCCTGTAATATTTATGAACCTATTATAGAGTGTATATTAAGCTGCTGTCAATCTGCAATAAACCAAGTTCCTGGATCCTTACATTAAGTGTCTAGAGCTTTCCTTGTCGCGACACCAGTCTAAAGCAAAAACTTGGTCTAAAGTCATTATATTCATCAATGTCCCAAGGATCAGCATCGGGAAAACTTGAGGATGATTGGTCCTATGAGTTCTGACATCCATGTTTCCTAGGGTGCTTTCTTGACTTGCGAATAGTGAATCCAGGCGGGCTGCTCTTTAATCTTGATTGCAGTGAAAGTCGTCAGCAGCACCTGGTAAGTTTCCTTTCCCAATTGCCCCCATTTGTACTCTGTTTATGGTATTTGGATTGTTTTTCTGGTAGATTTCATATTATTTTGTAACTTGAGCAATGGTGGTGCGCAAATTACATCCTATAATCTTTTTAGCTAGCTCTGTTTTTAAGGCTTCTACTCCCCAGTGTATTTTATTGTGCTCTTCTGAAACTACTTTCCACATTATGTTTGAGGGAATGAGAATGAGATTGTCGGGTGTGACAAAAGCTGTCCCTTGCTTGCTTGCATTTAAATCTTTTGCTAATTTTAAATATGCACTAGAGTAGTTATACTCTATATCAGTATCAATGGGGTTCCCCTCTGGTATCAAAGCTAATGCCTCTACCTGAGCCCCTTCTGCGGCTCGTTTGGCCTCTTGATCTGCCAATCGATTTCCCAGTTCCTGTTCAGTGTTTCCTTTTTGATGTCCTTTGCAATGCATAATTGCTACTTGCTCTGGCAGATTCACGACTTCCAATAGTCATAGGAGTTCTTTAGCATGTTTGATTTGTTTACCTTGGGCAGTCAGCAGTCCTCTTTCTTTCCAGACTGCTCCATGTGCGTGTACCACCCCAAATGCATACCTAGAATCTGTCCATATGTTTATCTTCTTTCCTTTGGCTAGTTCCAGGGCTCGTGCTAAAGCAATTATTTCTGCTTTCTGGGCAGACGTTCCTGCAGGTAATGGCTTTGCCTCAATTGCCTTGTATACAGTGGTCACTGCATATCCTGTTTTACGAGTCCCTGCTCTCACAAAGCTGCTTCCATCTGTGAACCAGGAATCCTCTGCATCCTCCAGCGGTTCTTCTTTCAAGTCCAGTCGACTAGAGTATACCACTTTGATGGTTTCCAGGCAGTCATGTGTCACTGGTTCTAGTGTGGTTGCAGCTTCGCTAAGGAAAGATGCTGGGTTGACAATGTTAGTTGTCACAATATTAACATCATCTTGTTCTACCAGTATAGCTTGGTATTTCAGGAACCTGGATGGGGAGAGCCAATGACTCCCCTTCTGTTCTAACACAGCAGAAACTGTATGGAATACTAACACAGTCATTGTCTGGCCCATAGTGAATTTGTGGGCTTCTTGGATGTTGAGAACAACTTCTGCAACAGCTTGCAAGCATCCAGGCCAGCCTTTGCTCACTTCATCTAGTTGCTTAGAGAAGTAAGCGACTGTTCTTCAATATGGTCCCAATTGCTGCGCTAGTGCTCCCAATGCAATGCCTTGTCTCTCGTGGGAGAACAGCCAGAATGGTTTGGACACATTGGGGACACCAAGGGCCAGGGCTCTCATGAGCTCTTTTTTGAGCTGCTCAAATGCCCTCTTCGACTCCCCAGTCCAAGTCAGCTGTTTTGTACTTTATCAGTTCATACAGTGGCTTGACCAATAAACCATAATTGTAAATCCACAGTCTACACCATCCTGTCATACCTAGAAAGGTTCAGAGTTCTTTTACCGTTTTGGGCCTTGGGATTCTGCAGATGACTTCTTTCTGTTCTCTTCCCAGTTCTCGTTGTCCTCCTGAGATCTCGTATCTGAGGTAGGTCACTCGAGGTTGCATCACTTGAGCTTTCTGTTGAGAGACTCAATATCTGTTAAGGACCAAAAAATTAAGGACACACATTGCAGGCAATCTTCTTCTGTTTCAGTGGCTATGAGGAGGTCATCCGCATACTGCAGTAGAACTCTGTTTGGCATTGGAGGGCTCCATCCCTTGAGGTCTCGAGCCAGCTGATTTCCAAAAATTGTAGGGCTATTCTTAAAACCCTGTGGGAGAACTGTCCAGGAGAGCTGGGTTCTTCATCCTATATCAGGATTTTCCCACTTGAAAGCAAAAAGCTTCTGACTATTTTTGG